AGTATATGAGGATTTGGCTTTGTTCTGAAAGATGTCAAACATCTCTTATCCACCTACTGCCAGACATGTCTCCAGTCATTAAACTACTTTTGCTCTACATTTCTGCTTTTCAAGTTTTGGTACCATTATGCACACTCTTGCTGAATCCAAAATCTAAGGGTGCTGGCTGAATTTCTTCTTCATCACTCTCTGCAATACATTTCTATAGATGCAGTCTTAGTTCTGGCCTTTATCACTTATCATCTGAACAGTTGCAAACTCTTTCTAGCAGACTTATCCTCCTTTAATTTCATTTTTGTTTATTCATCCAACAGGCACTTAGATTAGCACTTGTATACTGGAATCAAGTGCAAGGTGCTGGGGACATATCAATAAGCAGTCTCCATCTTGTTCTGGTAGTTGATGTAAATAAGAAGATAAGCAGATACTTGAATACAACATTAAGTATGGAGAAAGTGGGAGAATTAATTTAGGATCAGTTCTATTAGGAAGCAAGGATCTGAGAAGGCCTTTTTGAGGTGACATTTAAGCTGAAACCTACATTAAAGAAAAAAGCTAACTGTACCAAGCATTCCAGATAGAGACAATGTGCTATGCATTCAAAGATACAAAAGGAGGGAAGAACTTGGCCTTTTCAAGGAATCAAAGATGATCACTGTGGCTAGCTAGAAGTGCAGTGAGCAGGAAGGCTAGAGGAGCAAAGAGAAGTTACGAGATACAGAGCACATAGGGTCTTCAAGGTCAGTCCCAGACACCACTGCACTCACAATCAGACAGCACTGTTCCCCTTAAAGATCTTTTCTCTGGCATTGATGCAATAAGGTCCAGACATCATGTGATGACATTCTGGGCCCTTCCTGTTTTGGATGCTGCTTGTGTTTCCAGCCTTAGCCCTGAAACAAACCACATTCTTATGCATTCTGTACATGTAAGTTGTGTCCCCTTTTGCAAGTCTTATTTCCTGTTCTTTCCTCAAGGCGGAGAGCTCTGTCTCTGTGTATAACAACTCATCCTCTAAGACTCATCTAAAGTTGTACAGGAAGAGTAAAGATATTTCTGTTATTTCATAGCCCACTTTACTGCAGTCTTGGCTGCTCGTACATCCCTCCCACCATACTGTGAGCTCTCCAAAATGTTATAGTTAAAATTTTAAATGTTGTTGAAATCATGGTGCCTGATGAGAGCTGGCATTCAACATGTTAAAGACAGGCAGTTAGTTTTACCCAAATGCACCAGAATGGAATATGTGACGTTCTGATTCTATATAGACTAAGGCTTAGTCTATTAAAATAATCAAATTAAACTTAACAAACATTTGAATATATGGCTTTAATACATGATGCATTAGACCAATTAGTTAAGCAATACTTAATCAGAGAACTTCCTAGAAAGCAAATACAAAATAACATAAAGGTACAAAAACTGGTTGTTATTTATTAACCATAAGAGCTTGAACACAGAATTGCAAAATTTCACTTCCTGAATATACAACTGTAAACAGACCGCCCTAGTGGACCACACAGAGTAGTAGTGCTCACCATACCAATAAGAAAAATCAGGTTGCTTTTTAAGAACTGGTCCAGTTTTCAGGAAAATGAATAAAACTAGAGACCATTATGTTAAGCAAAATAAGTCAAACTCAGAAGGTCAAGGGTTGTATGTTTCTCTCATATGCAGAAGCTAGAGAAGAAAAAGGAAAAGAGAAAGGGGGAGATCTCATGAAAATCAAAAGGAGATCAGTAGAGAAAGAGGTCAGGGTATGGGAGGTGGGGAGAGAAGGGGGAAGTGCTGGACAGTGATATTGGATAAATTAAGTTGTTTTATTATGTGCATATATGATATGTAACAACAAATACCATTGTTATGTACAACTTATAATGTACCCATAAAAAAAGTGGAAGGGAAAAAAAAAGACCTGATTATCGATCTCATCTATTTGTAGGAGGTACCTTTGTACTGAAATACTTAAAACTCTTATCAAGGTGACAAAGCTGTAATCCCAGCAAGAGGAGAATGAAATGTATAAATTGTTATTTAGAAAACTGGAATGCTTGAAGCTCTTCAGGATACCTGTAGGTACTTCTGCTCCTACAAACAGAATAATACTTTTTATAAGAATCAGGCATTTCCAAGAATCAGAACTGTTCCTTTCTACTCATGCCTTCCTGTCTCTTCTCATTGATCCCTCTGCTCAGCCATTCAAAACACACTCACTGTGTGCTAGGCACACTGTGGGATAGGGTGAAGGAGACTGCATTTTCATGGGGAAAACATCAGGAAGAGATACAATGCCACACAGAGACAAGTGATGGAGAAAACATTGAGCAGATAAGATACTTATGAGTTACTCATAACAAAGAAATATTCTCCTCCCTAAGTGAACAAACTAGGGTTCTGGTTTATATATCAGCTTCTTGTAAGTTTGGAAAATGTGAGTTAATGCCTCTGGTCTTTGTGCCCTGACAAAGATGAATATATGACCAGAAGGCTTAGGAATAAACCAGAGGCTTCTGAAGTATGGTCATTTCACCAAGGCTGATACACTGTGAGACTGCCTGGCTGCCAGCTGGCCGCCTCCAATCACATTTCCCCTCACATAAAAGTAAATGTTTCAGGCCAACCTCAGCACAGGGAGTCCTTCGACAGAATGACAACTCAAGGCCAAGCACATTCCATTTATGACTAGACATGGATTCAGAATGAAATATAACTGACAAAGCCCAGATTCTTAGTGACCTCCACGTGCCAGTGTCAGTCAAGAGTTCATCTGGAATAGACTGCTAAAGGAAAAAATGGAATGGAGATTATTGTTTAGAACTTAGGAGCCACCTCTGCAGTGGATACATAGGTGCCTGAGGCCGACGGAAGAGCTAAAATCACGCTCGCACTACTTAGATTTATGTGATGCCAGTCTGCATCTCCAATACTGAAATGAGAGTTGGTTTTTGCTTCACGGAGGCATGTTCTTGCCCAAAGTAGAATCTTGGAAAGGTCTGGGTGAAATAATTTTTACTCAACTTACAATGAATATTGAGCCAATGAGGCTGGAATTCCCTGGGAAGGTTTATGATCCTGAGCAGTGAACGACAGTATCATGGGGCTAGAATGACCCTTGTTCATGTGGCAATCTGTCATCCTGAAGCAGGACATGGCTAATAGGAACTGCATAAAGGCCATGGTGATGTTGCCATTATGAAAATTCATATCCACGTTGCTACACATGGTGGTGAAACCAAGCACACCTGGGACACATGTTGTTCACAAGACTCTCCCACCTCACCTGCAGAATCCCCTTCTCATTGCAATGACTGCCTCAGAGAGTTACTTTCCCACCACAAGACTACCAACTCCCCTGCAGAATTTTTTTTTCCTTTCTTCCCTTTTTTTTCTTTGCCCTAGCATCACATTCTCCTGATTTGGATACTTCTCCTAGAAGACCTAACTTTAGATCCTTCTAAAGTCACTGAAGAATCCTAGTGCCCCAAAGTCAAATCAATCTAGTTACCACAATGTTTCCTAAGGTTTAATATTCATACTTATGTATTCAGTTCTACTGTTGAACTTAAATGTTAAAAACGTTTCACTTATCCAAATACTTGTAACTGTCATTTACTTTGAATATCCATATTTCTAGCCTTTGGTGGAATTTAAAATCTTTTATAATACAGCAAAATTTTAAGCCCCTGAGAAAGCTACTTTAAAAGAAAAAGCAGCATGTGAAAGGATCTCAAGAGCCTCTTGGTTTAGGCCTTCAGGAGTGGCTGAGTCGCAGGGTGCAAAGGAACGAGCAACACCAAGAAAAACCAAAGGGTGGGGTAGCTTCAGAGTGTTCCCACTGTTAAACCAATGCTCAATTCTACTGAAGCCACCTTAAAGATTATAGCCCACTCAGAAAACATTATAAGTGACATGCCAAAATTAAGATTTACATTTAATAGATTACTGAGAAAAAGGAACATTGTTCTAATGAAAGATACAAATTTTTAAAAAGTATGATGGCTTTTGATTCCCTTTTCTAGAAATCCAGAGAAGTACACAAAAATAATTTTTTTCTTTTATTTAAAACTGAGCTAAAGATAACCAAGTAGGGAAAAAGAACCACACCATCACCAACAACAAAGTGATTAAGAGACAATGATGTAACCACATGGTTGATAAAAGTATTTCTCTACAGATGTATTCAGCCAATGAGGAAGAAATGATTAAATTAGTACATTGTTATTTTGCAGACTTCTAAAGAAAACAATCTGAGCAAAGATCACCAGTGCCTATTAGTGTCATAGACAATATTATATACTTCTTGATGGAATATACAATAACATCTATGAAGTATTCTTCCACCACTCAGATTAAGCTTCTAGGTTAAATTAGCAGTATACAAAAAACACATTGGACAGAGAAACTTAATTGCACAGTAATGTAATCAGCAAAATAAAAATAAAATGGAAATATCTACAGGATAAGTAACCTTCTGTCTTCAATGAATGAATTACAAAGGAAAAGAAAAACACAAAAAGAAGATGGGGAGGAGAAAACTTCAGATTAAAAGAAACTTGAGTGACACATCAATGGCAATGCAGAACATCTGTTTGGATCCTCATCCAAAATAACTGTAAATGAATGGATGAATGAACGAGTATAGGAACAACCAGGGAAACTACAACCACAGATGTGAGGACACTAAGAAACTGTTATTGTTCTTTGGAAAGGCATCATATGACACTAGAGTTATGTTTGAAAAAGTGTCCTTATCTTTTATGGCTAGTACAAATATTTTTAGCAGATGAATTATAAAATATCTGAGATTTGCCTAGTAATAATCCAGTTGCTGGTAGGGAGGGTGCTGGAGACAGAAACAAAAGTGAGGTGATGGATATGTAGCTGGGCATTGGATGCATGAATTCATTATGGCATTTTAATTTTGTGTATGTTCAAAATTCTAGATAAATGTTTTAAAAATCTAAAAGTTGTAAAAAAAAAAAATGATGGAAAAGACTTACCCTGCTGGATATCCTTCATTTCTAAATGTAAACTAGATATCAAGATTCCCACGGTTTGAGATCGTTTTCCATCCAATAACTTGATGATCTGGAATTTTAAAAGAAAAAAAAAGAATACAAGCTCAAATGACTATAAAAATCTTTTAGGAAGCACAAAAAGAGGCAGTAAGACTCAGATACACTGAAGGATGAACTAAACAGACTACAGACACTACTCTAAATGATACTTGATTGGAAAGCAGCTTAACTGAACTTGCAGATGTTTTACAAAATAAAGGGGAAAATGCTGTGGAGAATTCAACCAGCCCAATGCAAACACTAAAAATCTTCAGAATATTTTACTCTGATCTTTTAACTCAAATATTTTTTAACTAAGTTGTAAAAGAAACATGATGTGCAATGCTACACCCAGTTTTTTCACTTATCAATGGGATATTGTCACATTTCTGCCTAAGTCCCCAGTCTTTGCAGTGATTCTCTCTGCTAAAGAGCTTAAGGGAAAGAACATTACCATCTTGTGACAGCTGCCCATCAGCAATGTGGCCTCGAGGAATCTAACTTCATCTTGAGCTTACACTTGCTCCATTTAGCTTATACATTGATTTTTAAATATTAAATGATTTAACATATACAAAGTGCCTAACATATTTGCTGATCTATATTTACTATGTAAATAAAGTTTCCCTATTTCAAGAAGTTAGGTTGCTTCCTATTGTACAATCATTAGCATAAACAATTATAATATTTTATTCATGAAGTTTTAATTTTAAATTGTTTCATATTATTTTTTTATCATAATATGTCTCTCAAAACTTTTACAATCTTTTTTAAAACTGCAAATACTTCATCGCCAATTACTTCAACATTTATGAATAGCTCCTAGAGAAGTCTAGATAGTTTTTTTCTAAGCCAAATAAGACAAATCAGCTCCTACTAACATATAACACAGAGACCACTAAGGAGAAAAATGATCTTTTCCCTAATGTAGCAGGGCTAGGAAAATCAATAGAAGCACACACAAAACATCACCAAATGTACTTTTCTGGGTAAAATACAAACTAAACAGCTATGTTTCCCTTCCCAACTAGGTGCTTAAAAATTACAAAATAAATGAAGACAGGACTAAACAATAGCAATGTCTACCTCATATTTTTTTGGTATGTTAGTCTGGTTGTTTGGTGGTTGAACAAAAGTTACAAGAGTTTGTTACAATCAAGATTATCTAATAGCCTAATTCTCTACCTACCTATCAATTTATTCTCAATTATTACCAGCCCTTTTCCTACTTAGAATGGCTATTTTATATAACTATTAGGTCTAAAATATAGTAAATACTAAACTTTAATCAAGATAAAAGAAAAATCTGATTTTTCAGTTGCTCTGATTAATCATTTCAACTTTAGTCTTAGAGATAAGATTTCTGGAGGATATAGAATTTCAGGAGTTTCAAGAAGGATATAAAGAAGATAATTAGTATTTTTATAATTTTTCACATAAAAGCAAACACAAAAGAAGTAGTAACAAAGCATAATCAAATATCTTTAAAAATGTAGTTTCTTGGAGAGCCCAAATTTAAAGCCAACTGATTTTTAAAAGTCCAACACAAAATTAAGAAAATCCAAATAGATTATAAATATTGAACCATGTAATCATTCATTTAAAAAATATTTGCTGTGTATATGTTGTGCTTCTGGGACTATTTTGGACTCTGGGGATGCAGAGGTGAGTGAGACAGATTCAGACACTGCCCTCAACAAGTATGTAGCTTGGAAATTTTGAAATTCACTATGGTGAAATTGCTATTACCTATCAAAACACAAATAAATTAATTGCCTAAACTACCAAGATAGCAAATTCAAAAGAAGATGGGCTTTGGGAAATTGATTAGATGTGTGCTTAAGTGTCAAAGACAGTGACAGATACAACCATGGCATACACATCAATGTCCAGAAGACAGACACAGGAATTCAACTTATGTCAAGATTGCAATTAGGTCACCGAAGTTTCTTCAAATGAAAAATCAGACTATATAGTCAGGATTCCAAAATCCATTAACCACACATTCTGCCTGCAAGGCAATGTTCAAATGCAAGTTGTTCTACTAAAAATGGCAATCGAGACACCTGAGGAACCCAGCCAATGCATACTGATTCTGCTGTCATTGGGTAAGAAAGCCAAGTCAATCCATCCCCACTTCATCATTCCACCAGGCTGCACTGAGGAAAGGATGTCACTGCAGGAAGCCATCCTTTGAATTTTACCCATGACTTTGGGTGAAAGGTGTTAGGGGGGTGTTACCTACAGGGTAATGCCTTAAAGAGGTTTTCCTAAATTCAGTACTGCCTCCTAATAGGGTGAGTAAGGTTGGCAGTGGAATTAGAGCATTTGTATTTTTGTTCCTATATATGTACCAAATTCCATCTACTTCGGACAGAACCTTTGCAAATATCTTTTTATGTTTCCATTTACCCACTTTTCATAGCAGAATAATTCTGGAGTCCTTCTCAAAACCAACTAAAATATTTGGAACACATTGGACATTGAATTTATATCCCAAACCCTATTTATTTTTACTTGTTTTCATGGATCTGAAAGCTTACTTTTTAAAGATTATTACTGTGAAAAATACATAACATGAAATTTACTTTATTAAAAATTTGAAGTATAGAATACAGTATTACAAACTATAAGCAAAATGTTCATTAGAACTCTGGAATTTTTTTCATCTTGCAAGACTGAAACTATATCTATTGAAGAGCAACTTCCCAATTTTCCCTTCCTCCAGCCCTTGGCAACCACCATTCTATTGTCTATTTCTATAAGTTTAACTACTATAACTTATCTCATATAATGTCATCACGAATTATTTGTCCATCTGTGACTAGATTATCTTCACTTGGCATAATGTACCGAAGGTTGCTCATTGTTGTAAATGACAGATTTCCTTTTTTCATGGTTGGATATTATTGCATGTATACACCACCATTTATCCCTTGATAGGCATTTCACTTTAGTTTTATTTTTTTCAAATCTTGTTACTGTGTTTAATGCTACAATGAACATGGAAATGCAAATGTCTTTAAGATTCTGATTCCAGTTCTTTAAAATAATCAGGAGAGGGACTGAAGAATCATATGGTAGTTTCATTTAAAAATTCTTAAGGAAACTCCATACTGTTTCCAGTAGCAGCAACACCATTTTATATTCCCATTGACTATTCACAAGGATCTTCAATTTCTCCACATCTTCACCAAAACTTTATATTTTCTAGTTATTTTTTTTTTGTAGGCACCATGCTAACAGGTATGGGAAGCTATCTCACTGTGGTGTTGAAATGCATTTCCCCTGAAGATTAGTGATGTTGGGCATCTTTTCATATACCTAATGCCCATCTGTATGTATTCTTTGAAGAAATGTCTACTCAATTTGAGAACTTAACTAGATGTATGCTTAAGTGTCCAAGACAGTGATTGATACAACCATGGTATACACATCAACATCCAGGAGGCAGGCACAGGAATTCAATTTATGACAAGATTGTAATTAGGTCACAGAGGTTTCTTGAGCCCATTTTAATTGTTTTTAAATGGAATTTTAGGAGTCCTTCCCATAATTGGACATTAATCCCTTATCAGATATACAGCTTGCAAATACTTCCTCCCAGTTTGTAGGCTGCCTTTTCACTCTGTTAATTGTTTCCTCTGCTGTACACCTCCTTCATTTGAAGTTGTCCCACTTGTCTATTTTTGGTTTTTCTTGCCTGTGCTTTTGGTGTTGTACCAGGAAATAATTTTCAGGATCAATTTTGTGAAGGTTTTCCTTTATGCTTTCTTCTAGGAGTTTTTAGTTTAAGTCTTTAATCTATTGAGTTGATTTTTGTGCATGTTGTGTCTAATTTCATTCTTTTGCAAATTATCTTCTTCCCATTGTTTTAGCACTTTTGTCAAAAACCATGTGAGCAAACATGCATGGGTTTATTTCTTGGTTCTTTATTGTTTTCTGTTTGTCTATAATGTCTGCCTTTATGCAATGTCATTACTATTTTGATTACTCTAGCTTTATAATACATTTTTTAGTCAAGAAATATGAGGCATCCATGTTTGTTCTTTTTTGAGGTTGTTTCTGCTGTTTGGAGTATTTTTTGGTTCCAGATGAACTGTAGGACTTTGGGTTTTTGTTTTTTTTTTTCTATTTCTGAACAACTCCCACTGGGATTTTGAGAGGAAGTGCATTGAATCTGTAGATTCTTTGAGGAATTTGGATGTTTGGACTACATTTAAGCCTTCCAATCCATAACATAAGACATTGTCTTTCCATTTATTTGTGCCTCCCTCAATTTCTTGCAACAATGTCTTGTAGCTTTCAGTGTATGAGTCTTTCACCTTCTTAAGTTTATTGCCAAGTATTTTATTTTACTTGATGCTATTTTAAATGGAATGTTCTTTGGGGGGTTGTTTGTTTTTTGGTGTACAAAAACAACTAATTTTTATACATTGATTTTGAAGATTGCAAGTCTAAATTTATTAGTTCTCAGGTTTTTTTATCCTTAAACATTTCTACACATTGATCATGTCATCTGTATAAAGAGATAATTTTATTTCTTCTTTTTCACTTTGGTTGTCTTTTATTTAATTTTTTGGCTTAACAGCATTAGCTAGGTTCTCCAGTATTATGTTCAATAGAGGTGGTGAGAGTGGGCAACCTTATGTTGTTCTTGATCTCAGTGAAAATGTTTTCAGCAATGAGTACAATGTCAGTTTGAGTTTTTAATACATGGGCTTTATTATGCTGAGATAATTTTTCTTCTACTTCTAGTTTGATGAGTGATTTTTTTATTATGAAGTGGTGTTTGAGTCTGTCAAGGGTTTTTTTCTGAATCTATTTAGATGATCGTATGATTTTTTTTATCTTTTGTTCTGTTAATGGGATGTAATACATTGATGGATGTTCAAATGATGAACCATCCTTGCATCCCAGGGATAAATCCCACTTGCTCATAGTGTCTGATCCTTTTAACATCCTCTTAAACATGATTTGATAGTATTTTGTTGGGTAAGTTACATCTATATTAATCAGGGATAATGGTCT